AACAAGAACAATAACAAGAACAACAAGAACAACAAGAACAACAAGAACAACAATAACAACAACAACAACAACAACAACAACAACAACAACAACAACAACTACTACTACTACTACTACTACTAGTACCACCACTACCAAGCTAGCACCATTTCTATTACTGCCACCGCGACGGCGACTATTACTAGTACTCAGTATCCCTACTGCTGTGCGGCATGCGCTTGTGATCATGGATTCTGAGTGTGGAAGCTCCTGAAACCCTTCCCGAATTGCATTACCGGTGATGATGATACATATGATGATTATGGCGATCATAATGACGCTGGTTTTTGAAGATGAGACTGAAGATGATGATGGCCATGCTGCATAATGCTGAAAAAGATGCGGCACTAGAGTGCAACAAGGCTGGTGCTGGCGATGGTGTTCAGCATGCTGCTGACGATGTTGCTGCCAACAGATGATGATGAGGATGATGATGGTAGCGATGATGGTAATCATGAGTCCCGTCGCCAAGGCTCGTCTTGAGACTGACGCTCGGGACTTTGTTATGACTTTGTGGCCTTTGGGGGCATGGGCCCGTTGCAGAGGCAGACTCACTTCATAGCATTGGCTCAAAAGGCGCGTCAGTGTTTCGGCCTGCAAGCCCCTACAACCTGCGGCCTGCCTCAATTCCAGGATGTGATTGCACCTGGGGCATATCTGGTAGGAAAAAGCAGCCGTGAACTTGATGTTCTCCTTGCTGCAGGGCGCGTCTAGTTACTGGCCTTTGCCACCCAAAGGGGAGAAAGTGTGCTGTAGCAGACAATCTGTACCGCATACAAATACATACCAGTCATGCATCGAGTTGTCTTTGCTAGATTAATGCTGTGACGATCCGTTCGTAATTCCTTTGTGTGCGCAGCAAGCCCTCTATACTTACGACCGGCCGGCCGAACGTCACCAGCGCCAGCGCTTGTGCATGTGCTTCAGCTCCAAGGGTGACCCCCTGCACTATGTATGAATACCCACACATATCTACATATATGTGTATACGTGTGCATACACTATCTGTACATATACATGTACAACGGTCGTATTTGTAATTTGACGTTATACTTCCCTGTGTCCACATATAAATGTATGGTTGAAGTATGTGTGTACGTAGAGGCAAATGTGCAGCATATGGCACCGGACTTCTATTGTCCATATATGATGTATGTTCGACATTATGTGCTACGTTGTACACGCTGTAAAGAATGTAACCGATGACGCATACCACAGAGTATGACATGTCAAGTATCTACTGCGCATATATGTTGGCCATTCTCTCCAGTCTACTATATGCTTTATCTTCTGTAGCTGTAATATGCAATATCACATTTCGTTATGTTGCGCTGGACTATGATTATGTCTTATCATCTCGTTTAACCTTATAGTACAGGACAGGATATGTACATATGTATACACACATACGCACACCACAGGTAGCATGATGTACCGGCAACAACATGAATACATATTTTCCTTTACTTACATACAAAAATACACATGCTCCCGGCTTTCCCCATGCACATATACATACATACTACATACATACACGCGTACATACAAATATATATATATATATATACATATTTGCTACCCCCCCCCTCATGTATCTAC